TTTCTGTTGCAGAGCAGTGGGGCTTCTGCAGTCCCGATTGAATTTTCCATCCTTTACTACTGAAATTTCGCCTCTCTTTTTTAGTTCATATCTTTCCAGTTCTCTTGCCTCATGCTCTCCGTGATTAGATACCAATTTCTGACACTGTATTCTGACACTGTGACACTGTGACACTGTATTCGGTGGCCTTACGCTCTCTATGGTCCGCAATGACCCGAGTCAGTTGCAAGGACGCTTCCAGTAATATTTTTTCCCACTTCCCCCTTTCTGCTTCACTTAGTGTAGACATTTCAGGGGTTGCAGGCTAGCCGAAGGCCCTTAGATGTGATTTCGTGAGATAGATATTCGGTTAGTGGTTCCGCGTGTTTTTCGTATTGCACCCGTTCTTCAATGATTTTCCCAACCGATAAAAATGAATGGGACCATGCGTGTTTAGGACTGCCCGTACCTTTTGTTTCCCCTTGTCATTTGGAAGTCGCCGCCTTGGTCTTCGCCGCATTTGTCCGCCTGGTTTTGTAAGGCCTCGCTGGTGGGAGTGGCGACGTCGTCAATGCTGGGATCCTGGATGGGACCCTGGATGCTGGGGCCCTGGATGCTTGCACGGAAAACTCCAGTGCCAAACCCACACAACAACAGGGAGCCGAGGGTCACAAAGAGGCGAATGACACCAGGCGGATGAATGCGGTGAAGACCAAGGCAGCGGCTTCCAAATGACACGGGGAAACAAAAGGTACGGGTAGTCTTAGACACGCATGGTCCCATTCATTTCTATCGATTAGGAAAATCATTGAAGAACGGGTGCAATACTAAAAGCACGCGGAACCACTAACCAAATATTTATCTCCCGAAATCGCACCTAAGGGCCTCCGCCTAGCCTGCAACCCCTCAATGTCTACAGTAAGTGAAGCAGAAAGATGGAAGTGGGAAAAAATATTACTGGAAGCGTCCTTGCAACTGACTCGGGTCATTGCGGACCATAGTGAGCGTAAGGCCACCAAATGCAGTGTCATGGAGGCCACGTTGAAATTGGTATCTAATGTCGGAGAGCATGAGGCAAGGGAACTGGAAAGATATGAACTAAAGAAGAGAGGCGAAATTTCAGTAGTAAAAGATAGAAAATTCAATCAAAACTGCAGAAGCTCCACTGCTCTGCAACAGAAAAATAGGAATGAGGCCGTACAAGAACGCCAGAGACCACCCCCACCACAACCTAACTTTGAGGAGAAAAATGGGAACACAAAACTACAGTGCAATCCTAATCAAAACACCCTTACTCTCGAATATAACGCTGACACTTCCGTGCCTCGTGATAGCCAAGAGCAGCCAAAAACTTATGAGAAAAATGTCCTCAATCTGTCTAACACAACACTCACACTCGCTCAGCTTCAACTTTTGTCGAGAGGCTTAACTTTTTGTCCATCATCCGGTAGATTCAATGAATTTGAACTGTACCAAGACCTCGATAACTTTGCGCGTAATCTCCGCCTCCGTGAATACTTCCATGATCGCAAGGACTGTACGGACGAGAATAGATTGATTCCTGGTGACAAATCATGGTGTCCAGGTGAGCAGAGGGACAAACACCTCGATATGTATATATCAGCCGTTCAAATAGATATAATCAGAGCGTATGACAAAAATCAGCCATCTCAAAACAAGATAGCAAAGTCAGAACGAAGGGCACTCGATCAAACTACGAAAAAACACTGAAATTGCCATCAAACCGGCTGATAAAGGGGGCTGTATAGTAATTCGAAACACGTCGGACTACTTAAAGGAAGGGGAGACAACTATTAGACACAAAATTCTACAAAGAACTTCCAACGAACCCGACTCCCGAATTTGAAAGGTAGATAAAAGTAACCCTACATAATCTCCGCCGAGACAAGAAAATTACCGGCAAAATCTTAAAAGCAATGTTACCGGCCCACTCTGTTCCCGGTTTATTATATTTGCTCCCCAAAATACACAAGGCAGGCTATCCGGGACGTCCGATAGTATCCAGTAACTGCACATCAATAGAAATATATCAGAATTCATCAAGTCCTTAATAAAAAACATCCCCCCAAATTTTCCCTATTACCTAAAGAACACGAATCACTTCATCTGCGAAACTTCAAGTCTCGACATCCCAGGTGGTAATTTTCTGATGACCATGGACGACTGCTCACTGTACACCAAGATACCCCACCATGAAGGAATAGCGGCTATGGTTTCTGATAATGTAAAATCTGACTCATCAATGAATGTAAGCGGCGAGGTACTGTTTACACTTCTTGAACTTGTACTAAATTATAACCATTTTGAGTTCAATGGCAAGCATTTCCTTAAGGTCACTGGCACTGCAATGGGCACGAAAACGGCCCCACCCTTCGCGAGCACCTTCATGGCTTCACTTGAAATCTCATTAATTGAGCGACGCACCTTGAAACCTATCTATTACAGAAGATACTTAGACAATATTTTTATGATATGGAACCACAATGAGGGAAGTCTTTTCTGCCTAATAGAGGATTTTAACAAGTTCCACCCGTCAAGTAAACTCACGCACAAAATTTACAAAACTAGCATTAACTTTTTGGACGTCACTGTCATGGTCGAAAATGACCACTTCTCAAAAAACCTTCACAAAAAGCCTACAGACCGTCAAATGTACCTACATTTCAACAGCAGCCACCCAAAGCATTGCAGAACGGGTATTCCATATTCTCAGGCCTACCGGTACCGAAATTATGCACCGATATGCGGAAATTTGACAGACACGCAGAACACCTAAAGCATTCCTTATTGAAACAAATTATCCGGAAGACATTATTGGCGATGGCATACTACGTGCTCGCAACGTGAACAGGAGCGATATAACTAAGAGACAAAACAAAGTATCCAAAACGACTTCCCAAACGAACCTTGTACTAACTTACTCCTCAGCAGTGCCACGAATCAACAACGTACTTTCCCACCCTTTCAACATAATCAAGCAAAGCAAACGACTAAGTTCTATTTTCGCGAAGCCACCTCACGTGGTCTACCGCAGGGATAAAAATCTGAAGGACATTCTTGTCAGAGCAAAAACAAACACCCCCAAATTTCAATCAGGGTGCCATCTCTGCGGAAAAGCTCGATGCAAGGTATGCCCACAGATGGTCACAACACGTGAATCCAAAGCGAACTTCTCGGACTTCAAATTCTGCATAACAGAAAGCCTTAATTGTGACTCCAGTAACGTAATATACATGCTACATTGCAATATCTGCGGACAAGAATATATCGGCCAAAGAGACACGCCATTTCGGCTGCGGTTCAATAATCACCGGTACCACGCCACTTCACTGCCGACGCTACCTTTATCTAGACATCTGCGCCTGCCAAACCACAGTTTTGAAAATATCAGCGTAACTCTTTTGCAGTCCGGTTTCTTTAACAGACGCGAGCGCGAACAGCGTGAGGCATATTTTATTTTCAAATTTCAAACATTTGTAGCCGGCATCAACGAGGACCGCGGAATACTGTCGTGCCTCCGAGAAGTAAGCCCGGAGGAAATTGGTGACAAAGATTGATAGCTGGAGACCATGCTTATTTTTTCTGACTGACTCACACGTGTACGCTGTCCTTTCTTGTTTTTTTTTCTCTTCTTTTTTTCCTTTTTTCTTTTTTTCACATGCACATACAAAGTTGTTCTGTTCGCCTACCACTTGATGACCATTGAAGGGAAACGAACGAAGATGAAAGAGAGCCGACCGACCCATTAAGGGGAAACCCTTTCCTTACGCACGCCGTCACGGACCCCTCGCGCCACCGCGACGACAATCTTGGGTGGCCCGACACACGCCGAGAACTGACCAGCACGGGATAAGAACAGGATGCGTACGTACACGGACATTTCGTTTTGTTCTTATAGTGTTGACAGTGGTTCTTCCTCTTTTTTACTTTCTTTTACTTTCTTTTTTCTTTTTTCCTTTTATTCTTTTCGTCTTTTCTCTTGTCTTTTTTCTTTTTTTTCTTTCTTTCTTTTAGTTCTCTCTCACTCTCGCAAACATCTTCCAAGGCGAGAGGGACGCGGCAGCAACGAAGTTTGGAAGTTCATGTTAGTATAACTCATCCCCTGATGAAGGGAGGACCCCTCCCGAAACTGTTGGGAAATAAATATATTTATCCTTGTTGACAACGCTCCCGTTGTGCCGTAACCCATATATATATATATATATATATATATATATATATATAGGGAGAGAGAGAATATGAGAGAGGGGAGCAGAGGAGTGATAGAAAGGCAGCTCATCTGCTCGCGGCTGGCAGTTCTTTCCATTCTTTGAGTAGTATGCATGTACAACTACACAACGGGATCACAGTCCAATCGCTGCTTATTCTTCGTCAATTTGCATGACGCGAAACAACATAATAAATAAATGGAGACCAAAGCGCCTTCTTCTATCATTTTTGTATAGTTTTGTTGTTAAAAACTTCACATCACTTCACTTTATTACCTCAAAGCCCTCTATAGAAGGTATTACATAAGGGGTGGGAATCATACAGTAAATGTAATACCTATGCAGGATTGGTTCAAGTATGAACAGGTGTAACCAAACAGAAATAAAATATTACATGTGCAGGATCAGTATACATATTAACAGTCGTAACACCTTGCCAAAAAAAAAGACAAATTGAGAAGCAGTGGCACAAAAAGGAACAATGTAATGTATTCGAATTGAAAAGAAACGAATAACATTTTGTGTAAATGTTGAGTTGCACATTATGGTGGCGAGATTAGTGGAAAGGCCATTCCGGTCGGAAGCTGCACAAAAAAGAAGGAGGTGGAAAAACATTTTGTACATAGTCAACGATCGCAGTCTTACCAAGAAATATAAGTGAATCTCGCTGTCTTGCGTTGCTACCTTAAAAGCAAGTAAATTTGTAGAGATACTTGACGGAACAATGAAGCTCTCTGGCAGCTGATAAACACACTGTGGGTGCATGTGAAGTAAAAAAGCAGAAAACTGCATAACATTTTTTTATGAATCAAGTTTTGACAAAAAAACGCAAGAATAACTTCAGTTCACGTGCTTACGCAAAAAAGAATGAGCCACGACACTGCTGTACCAACGGCGTACGGTCCAGACAAGCCGCTGTTCTTTAACTGTGGCACTGCAGCGTTACAAGTTCTCTTTGTTTTTTCCATGAACGCTCGTATACAACAGCAGTGCAAACTGCGCTGGGCTGCAACGAGAAATAAACGTGTAGGTTGTAAATCATGTACAAGAAAACTAGAAAAAGTAATGGTGCCTTCTTCATCTCAACAGGCCAAGAGTGGACAAGGGTAAATAATGCGTCCACGTGCGTTTCTCTTGATATAGATGGCATGTTGTTCGCATTACGGTAGCCTTGCGCAGGCCTCACCGGGATCAAAGGGAAGGTTCACGAGCATTTTAGAACCCTTCGATGAGAGTTCGCGCACTGCGCCAAAAATAGTGTGTTATGCAACCAACGCTACCGGCGGTGATAACGCAGATATTGACAATTCCAAGATGCGTGAATGATAACCCGTCTTAACGCTGATAAAATTACCACCAACAGACTTTTTAGGAGCCAAGTATTTTACGGTCTCAGCGCGCACCGTTGTCTGCTGCTGTTGTCGTGATGGTCGATTTTGCTTGAGTGCAACACAGAGGGCACCACCACCTCAGCGGTGGCCGTGCGGTGAGAGGGAGCGACTACGAAAACAGACGTTGCACCGTATTCCCCATTGGGCTGCAGCAATCAGGTGCCTTCTTCTTTCTCAAATGACACATTCATTATGCGATGAACGCTGAACTACCACCTTCAAGCAACAATCGAAAACTCACTCTCGCCCGCGAAAGACAACACCGAAGCATGCAGTCTGCTAGTGAGTCTCTCGACTGAACAAAACGAACTGCTCGTGCTGCACAAGCCTTCACCGGCGACCCCGTATGTGTGGGCACCGATTCTTAACCCGCAGAATAGGGCCGCAAGAAGATTTCTCTTGTGTGCACCTGAACAATAGATATTCCCAGCGTGCGCACGAACTAGACGTGGACAAGTGGTCTGTGTGTTAGACCCGTGAGCTCCACGTGCTTCTTCACTCCCCTGGTTTCATGTTTTTGTTTTTTGCGCTTGCTACTCTTTGTGCACTTTCAGTGTTACTGCTCATACGATTTTTAAGCGCCAACGACCTAGCAACGATAGAAGCTAGCAAGAAATACATGCGTCTTCATATTAGTCGAATAAATTCCAAAGGCTCCGCCAGCATTTTCTTAAGAAATATTTGACAGAAACGCGAAGTTCCTCAAGCGAGAAGGCTGTACAACAAAGCTACAGCTAGTGGTAGCAGGCCACAAAGATCGAAGCGTTTAATTAAGTACCTGCCTTGCTGCGTTTCCAGATTTATTCGCGTGAAAACTGGTTCTATAAAAACAAGCGACCACTGTCTTATTTTCTCGCGTTCATCGCCCCGGCCAAGATAGTGAGCACGCATTCTTATTTTATCTTGAAAACTGATCAGTCTACACTTCCACTTGCGCCGCATCGTGCCATCATTAAGTATGCGCATTTGCTTCGATTGATTGTTATGTGGGTTTAACATCCCAAAACCACCATAAGATTATGAGAGGCGCCGTAGTGGAGGGCTCCGGAAATTTCAATCACGTGGGGTTCTTTAAAGTGCGCCCAAATCTGAGCACACAGGCCCACAGCATTTCCGCCTTCATCGAAAATGCAACCCCCGAAGCAGGCATTCTGTGTCGCGACCTGCGGGTCAGCAGCCGAGCACCTTAGCCACTAGACCAACGCGGTGGGGCTAAGCGGATTCACTGAATTTCCTGCAAAATTTGAAACGCCTTAACAGCTGCATTCAGCATTCGCATTATGGAGTACTATGATTGTCTTAGAGTGTTTTTGTTTAGAAATTTTGATGACTCAAACTGTATATTTTTGTCACGGTATATTTTTTGCCACGTTTATTTGGATGGCACTAGCAACGCCACTCCTTAGGTGGCTGTCAGGTGGTAATTGTTTTTTTTTCGTTTGAGCATATTAACAGAAAGCTGTGAAAACTTAGGCAGCGATTAACTTTAGCATAGAAAAAAAAATACGAGCATTCTTGCTTAAAAAGCGTGGATTTGCTTAGCAAAACAACAGACTATAGAAAGGACACTTACTTTCCACTCAATTCATTCGATACAGCTTCAAGTAAGGAATCCCTTTGCGCAGGCGCATTAGCAACACTGTTGCAAAATATTTTTCTGAATCGCCGGCTGACCCGTTAATAATTCAAGACCACGCTGGTCACGGGATCGAATGCCGGCGGTGGCGGCTGCGTTTTCTATGGAGACGAAAATGCTGTAGGCCCGTGTGCTCAGATTCGGCTGCACGTTGAAGAACCAAACCTAGGTGGTCGAAATTTCTGGAGCCCTCCACTAGAGCATCTCATATATTCAAATGATGGTGTTTACGACGCGAAACGCTGCATATGTATCATAACAACAAACTAAGAAACATGAATGGGACGGGTGGTTGGCATTGGTTTACATTTAGCTGCGCTGAATAATTCTGTCGACGACATCAATTCGTGCTCCCTTGATCAAGAATGATGTCGAGTCAGTGAGCACAACAGCTGATCATATTGAAAAAAAATACGATGTTCCTCTACAAGCCCGACAAATTTTCATTTTGAAGGATTACGTTAAAGTTAGTATTTAAAATGCCTATTAAACGACCAATAGACATATTTAACATTCCGCACGCCTCGTGAGCACTTGCCTGGTGAGAATAGAGTTCAAGTGGATGAGTAATTTAATATGGGTCTTCGCTACCTGTTTTTACTTTTTTTTAAGTCTAAGCCGAGTTTTACGAGCATAAGTCATTCTCACACTTTGAAGAAGGTGATGGCTCTAGAAGCAAGCCTTCGCCCTGAACTTTGCCCGGCGAGGCGTGGACACACCAACTCCCGCGGTTATCTCTTCGGGGCGACAGTTCATGCGGGTTTAATTTTCCATGCAAGATTTGCGTCGGAGCCACGAGCTGCACAAAGCCGTCGACTTAGTTTCCTGCAACATATGTGTTTCTGCAAGGACTGGGCGAACGGCTAGAGAAGCCGAAGTCGGCGCTGATTGGTTGTGCCTAGCCGGTCATTGCGGCACAGCGCTCAAGCACAAAGAACGGCATACGAAAAGAGCTTACCAGTATACGCAGGTGGAGCGCTAACTCGCAATCGTGACAATCGTTAATGCACATTCACCCTGCCGCAGGGGTCTAGTGCCTATGGCACTCGGCTGCTGACCCAAAGTTCACGTGATTCAATCCCAGCTGCGGCGGCTCCATTTTCGGCGCGGTCGGAAATGCTGGCGGCATGTGCGCTCAGAATCGGGTGCTCGGTAATGAAACCCAGGTGGGCGAAATTCCCTATGTCCCTCTACTACGGCGCCTCTCATTGTCATATGATGGTTTTGGGACGCGAGATGTTATCAATAATCGACGCTCGACTTGGGTAAAACCTCGAGTACTACTTTCGGGCCTCGTTCTTTTCGAGAGGGGAGCATTAAGTGTTGAGCTGCTAGCCGTTCTGCGCATGCCAATCTGATTCATTGCTATCACATTCATTGACTCGGTCTGGTTATAAAACAGTGACATTTTTAGAAGCTCTTTCTTTCCGACTCATCTCATAGGGCCCCTCCTACTGGCTGCTTCCAAAGATTGTGGCCACACATTTGTCTTCATGTGTTTGTTACCATAAAAACGCCGACCTTAGCAAGCGGTACGTCTTTCTCGCGTCTGAGTTAGGTGGTAGCATAGTGAATAGTGCGCGAGGTGTCGCACGGCGGCGATAGAAAGCGCGGCTTCCATTCACCCATGGCGGGCGGCCTCTCCTAAATGAACGTTAATGAAAAACACATTTGAGCTTCGGTACATGTTAACGAACACCATGTGGCCAAAGCTTTGCGAATAATCATATTGCGCTTTCATAGCCTGAATCTTCATTTATTTTAAAGAACCAAGCTCCTAAAGCTTCTGGTCAACCGTCAGGTGTCCGCAAAAAAAAAAAAAAAGCTGTTGTTGATCGCTAACGAAGCCCTAGCAGCACATCACCTGGTTTGAACCTCACCTAGTCGCGCATGCACTGAAGAGCAGCTTCCGCGCTGTCCACGCAGACACATTCCGCGTAGCCGTCGCGACAAGATCGCGCGTCGGGGCACGAACTGATTAGGAACCAAGGTCAATCTAATAGGTCGCGATAGTCGGAACAAAAGTGGTCTGAAACCTACTACGACAGGCATCAAGAACCACGTGACAATTGAAGCGGGACTAGGTTAGGGGAGGAGGAATAGCGAAAAGAATTAAAATATTTAAACGTTCATTTTCAAAGGTTTAAATTTTACTGTTGCAAAAAATTTATAGATTACTTTAACGAAGCTTTGGTCGCCCCGCCGCGGTGGTCTAGTGGCTAAGGTACTCGGCTGCTGATCCGCAGGTCGCGGGATCCAATCGCGGCTGCGGCGGCTGCATTTCAAATGGAGGCGGAAATGTTGTAGGCCCGTGTGCTCAGATTTTCACACACGTTAAAGAGCCCCAGGTGGTCAAAATTTCCGGAGCCCTCCACTACGGCGTCTCTCATAATCATATGATGGTTTTGGGACGTTAAACTCCACAAATCAATCAATGAAGCTTTGGTCTTTCGTATGTGACTAAGCGCAGATTTTTTCCCCTTAAGTCTCAGAAACCGTGGGTACATGCAGGCAGTCTGGTAACTTGAGCCAACACAAGCGTATCCAGGCGATACGCTATCAGAGCTTGTGCTTAGTGCGGCGTGATCTTTGGTTTGGCGCATTAACAAGTCAACGAGCCATCTCTCACTTTTCTGTGATGGTTTCATGCGTACCTTCAAAAGTTTACTTGTTTATTTGCATTTCAGAAGTCAACTGGCTCACAGATTGTGTAGATAGTGCTCCTGTGACTGTCGACTGCTTTCGCTGGCGCACGGCCGGCGTGCCCTCGCTTTTGGTGGCTGTGAACGCGACAGGCTAAGACACCGTACTCTGCGTTTGCCAAAGCTATAATTTCAAAGCTGCTGTCCAACAGCAGCGGTTTTCAACGATTGGGCAGCGTGAGTTGTTAAACTAATACGCTATCGTGCTTGTGAAAAGTTGCCTCACAATTGCCTCTGCGAAGTTTCTCGTGCATATTGCAAGTACGTCATTTGGCTA